ATGACCAGCGCCATCACCTCACCCGTCAGTGGTGGATTTCCATATTACCACACCAAGCCTTCTTTTCCACAGTGGCTTCAGTGTGTTGGGCTGTGTCAGCTGGGTGCCGTGTTTCATTAACAGTTAATCTTGTACTCTAAAAACTCAACTGTGTGTCCCTCCAAGCAGATGATGTCTGTCACTGCTGAACAGGGTTGTCAGGATACTACAATTTCAAACTCAGTACTGACACCACAGGGACGATTCTGACACCCTCCTGCAACAACACATGGTGAAGAAGTTGTACCTTCAAAATATTAACTTCCTAGTTATATGTTAGCTTTAACAAAATAACTATTTAAGCTTAAAGGTTTTATTTATTTTACATAATTTCGTTACAGATTACTGCAGGAAAATATATTTCAGAATCTACTAATAAAGAACGGGCGCAAACAAACAACGCTTTACCATCTACATGACTGAATTATTGTAGAAGAAGAACATGATTAAAATGAGTTTGAATTGGGGTCGGGCGACTGGATGAATATTTCGACTATCGCCGATAGGCTGCGCATACTCGGCCGGATGGTGGACGCGTGCATGCTCATGCAAGTTAGTCGAGTTTGAGTACTTTGCTCGTACTACACTGATTACATTGCTCTGCAATTAAAAAGTCTGTGGATGCACGAATATATCGCCCATCGGCAATTATTGGACTGACGATTGTCAGTTAGAAAATGTTTACATATCGCCCGACTTTAGTCTGAATAAAGTCTCTCATTTGTTTCCTAAAATAAAAATAATAATTTAAAAAATTAGACAAAGTACGTGTTATGTATTTAGGATGAGTACAGGATAAGATAACAAAGTTAAATACATTTAGAAGATTATATCATACAGTTTTGGTTTGATTACAGACCAATTTTCCTAATAATTTCCTTATTATTATTAGTAGTAGTACTAGTAGTAGTATCTGTGTGGCCACCAGTATTGTTTTAGATCAGGGGTGTCAAACATAAGGCTCGGGGACCAGGATCGGTCTAGCAAAGACTTCAGTCTGACCCACTGGACAGCTGTAAACACTGAAGGCGTAAACTTGGCATTTTTCTTTACGTTTTACAGCTTTTTCCAATAGATACGGGCACGGATACTAAACTAAAATTATAAAACAACAGAGAAACAGTTAAATCAGATAACTGTGTAAATTCAAAATGTCCAGTTTTAGAATTATAGGTCAGTAAGTGAGCTACCAGAACTTTACTATTATCTTAGACATTTTCTTAGAATTTAATTCCAAAGAGTCACGCTGACAGATTTCTTTCTTTATCATGTAGAAAAGTTGAGACGTCCAGTTTTCCTTATTTTAAGATACCTCGGAGTCTAACTTCTTTGCACTGACAGAAAGGGGAGTTTCACTGATCTGGCCCACATAGGATAAAGGTGGGCTGTATGTGGCAACATTACTGATCGTCCTTACTGTCTGTGGAGCTATGTGATGAACACAGGGTGGACAGTCTGAAGGTTAACTGTGGGGTTCATAAATGAATGTATGACACACTAAACTATTTATACTTAAATAAAGTTTTGTATGTAGTAATATTATTGTGTCTATTACAGCTACTACTAATGTTATACTAATTACTACTGCTGCTATAAATAAAAAAAACTAGACACATACTTCACCTGATTATATGATTATTGTCATCATTGTTATTACTGTATTATAATAAGCCGAAGCATCAGCCTGCACCTCTTCACTCACTAATTTGTGTTGTTTGTTGTTATTTATGTGATTTTTTGTGTCAAAACATGAAAGGTGAAACGACACCAGGACGTAACATTACACAGACAACATGTACATGACAGAAAGGACTTTCAGTGATAACCTGACCAACGCTGCACTACAGGTGTGAAATAAATGCATGCACAGGAAGAACACACATTAAAAGTATATATATATATACACATATGTGTGTGTGTTTGATCAACTACAGATGTGAAGCCCTTAACCCCCCTCCACCCCACCACACAAAGCACCAGGGCAGCTCTCCTCACCTCGCTTTGGTTTCGGGAAGCTCTCGTGCAGATGAAAAACCACTTTCTCCACAAAGTGCTGGATGTTGCTGTGCTCTGGTCCTCGCACAAACACCATCCAGTCGTGGGTGAACCCTTCCACCGTAGGTTTCTTCCTGACCTGGGCACGATGACCAAGTTCCAGTTTCACCTGTACAGCACCCTGCAAAGCACAAAGATGCAGGGTTAGCGTTAATAAAGACGGGTCCATGTTTCGTGCAGGTGTTTTTCCTGAAACACTACAGTCTGCTGTCGAACAACGTTTGTGTTCCTCTTAGCTGAAGCAAACAGCTTAAACACGACGAGCTGAGCTGCTCACATTTCAACCTTCGTGTGTGTCCTGTGCTTTGTTTCGTGGGCTAACGTTACACAACTGTTAAACCTAACATCGTAAGAATAAAGACCAAACTTCTCAACAAAGTTGGCATGTCTGCGTTACCGGCCCAGCGACTCCTCTCACTGACTACAGCCGCTCTCCAACACTCTATCGGCGCATTAGCCAAAACGTTTTGGGGGTTTCTCCCAAAAGATTTTCCCCTGTCTGTCTCTGAGGGGAATTTAACATCTCTATTATTTCATGTGGTAGCGGCGCGCTAAGTAGCAGTACAGCCCGAAAACCCTTGTTGCAGAAAAACCCACGGACCCCTCCGGTGTGCCATAAATGTCCACGCGTATAGTGTTTAAACCCGAGCCGGGAACAGCAAAGCACCGTGAGCAGCTACTTACCGAGTTGGCCATAGCTGAGGCCGAGCCTTCGTGTTATTTCATGGAGAATTCGTTTTATATCAAATGAGAGGTGAGTGCAGTTTGCCTATGACGGCCGACATGGTTTCTTACGCACTCAACTCAGACCCAAGACTTTGAAAGGCTCGCCGGCTGTAAAGCGTCTGTAATGACGTGGACAGTATCCGCTTGGGGCTTTTCAAAGTAAAACACCTGCGGTAAAGATGCACTCCAGGTCCCCACATACCTAACATTCTCCTTATATATATTTCTTTAGATTTGTCTTTCTTTTGTTTTGTCTTTCAGACAATCTCCACATGTGTTTATTTGAAAAGATTCAGGTTTCTTAACTACTTTTCGACTTTGTCGTTAGCATATATACACACAGCTGTTTATAATCCTGGCTTGTATGATTTTAACCTGTATATGCATGACCCAGAATGAATCATTTTAATTAGTAAATTACTTTTTTTTTTTATACCGTTGCCAGCAATCCAGCTGCACAGACATTTACTTCCAACATTAAGCTGTTAATGCAGCTCCAAAGACTTCTCCACTCTGCCAGGATTAAAACTAAGCTATGCTTCTCTAATTTTATGACTATAGATTCCTTTTTGTGTCTCCTGAAGCTGTCCGTGCATTCGACAAGTCTTGCTGGTATTGAAGCTCTATTTTAGTTGAATTGCATGTTTTCACTGTGCAGTATTAGTAAGGAATGTAGGAGTGCCTTCACTGGCGTCTCTGTTCTCTTACTGCGTGTCTGTGGTTCCCAGC